GCATGTACAAGAAGAGTTTGAGAGAAGATGCATGTCTAGCAATTTCGAGATATTACTTCAACAATGCCATAGCATTCAACACGGCAAGAAGTGAAGAGTTTCGTATCATGTGTGATTTGATTGCAAAACATGGACCCGGATTCAAGCCACCGTCATATCATGAGATCAGAGTAAAGTATTTAAAACAAGAAGTGGAGTCAACAGAACGCATGGTCAATGAACATAGGAGCAAATGGAAGAAGACAGGGTGCACAATAATGAGTGATGGTTGGTCTGACATAAAAAAAAAGAGCATTGATTAATTTTCTAGTTCATAGTCCAAAGGGGATTGTTTTCTTGAAATCACTTGATGCTTCTGAAATAGTGAAGTCACATGACAAGATTTTTGAGATGTTGGATGAGGTGATTGAAGATGTGGGTGAAGAAAATGTTGTTCAGATTGTGACAGATAATGCCCCAAATTATGTAAAAGCAGGTACTCTACTCATGGAGAAGCAAAAAAGGCTATATTGGACACCATGTGCGGCTCATTGCATTGATCTCATGCTAGAGGACTTCGAAAAGAAAATCCCAATCCATGGAGTGACAATTCCTAATGGTCGCAAAATCACTACTTATATTTACTCTAGACCTTCTCTGATTCCTCTATTACACCACTTCACAGATGGGAAAGATTTGGTGAGACCGGGAATGACCCGATTTGCTACTGCTTATCTAACTTTGGGGTGTCTTTATGAAAACAACGGTGGTTTAATTAGAATGTTTACCTCAGAAGAGTGGAAGACAAACAAACACTCAAAAATAAAGGATGGAAAAGATGTGGAGGAGATTGTGTTGGATAAGGAGTTTTGGAAAAGCATAGTGATATGCTTAAAGGGTGCATTACCTCTCATTGAGGTGCTTCGTTTGGTTGATTCTGATGAGCATCCTGCCATGGGATTTCTTTACGAGGCAATAAACCGAGCAAAAGAAAAGATACAAGCAGTTTTCCAAAATGTCAAGAAAAGGTACATCACATATTCACATAAGTCCTTTGTAGAATAAAATCATAAAATATTAATTTGAATTTAATTAATAATTAAAATACTTCTTTTGTGTTCAGTTATAGGCCTTTGTGGAGTGTCATTGATCTCAGATGGAATAAACAACTTCATAGGCCCTTGCATGCCGCAGGCTATTATCTTAACCCTCGCATGCACTATAGCCCCGGTTTTAAAGTTGATTATGAAGTTAAACA